GTGGTATTAGAGTAAGTTCAATCATAGTTATAAATCTTGGCCGGTTTGAACCCTACATTGGGCTGAGTAGGCTCAGGGGATCGGGATGCCATTTTACCCAATCAAATCCTAATTATGTTAGATTCACAAGCTACTTTGAAACATTTGGAGTCTTATTATGATTGTGACTTTATAGTAAGTTTAAATCATAATTTCAAAACTTGGTCTAACTCGAATGGTAGAACAGAAAAATCGTCAATCGGGACCCTTTATCGGGTTGGGTGGACATAGGGGATCAGAATGCGTTTTAACTCTAGTAAAAATCAATTAAATTCAGGTGAACATGTGGTTTTTAGGGAAACCGTTGACATGGTTTATCGGGTTTCAAATCAAATTGCTAAAAAGAGATGAAGTGTGATTTGAGCCACTTACCTCCATCTATTGGAGGTAGAGATTTACTGTTGGAATCAACAAGCTCTTGATCTCAATTTTGTAGGACTGAGTTTGTATTATCAATAATTTAGAAAAAAAAAAAACTAATTAGTAACTATTAACTTAGAAAAACTCTAATTTTGTCACTAAAAAATTTTGTAATTTGAAAATACTTAAAGTAATTTTTAAGCACGATCCATCGGTCCGATTATAGACCAAATGACCTATTGCCTTGGCTGGGTCGAAGCGTCCGTAAAGTTTGAACTATGGTTCAAATTGTCTCTCTAATTTTTGTTATATTTAATATTTATTAAGCTAAAAGGTAAAACCAAATAATTCTAACGTTTGATGGGCGTTCGTGCTTTCAATCACTCCTGGTAAAAAATACATTATATCCTTACATTTCATTTCTTTTAATCTTCAAGTATTATTCACAATTTATTTTTATTTATTTATAATTTAGCTTCTGTTTGAAAAGAATTTATAAACAATTTAAATAAATAAAATTGATTAATGAATAAGTGAATAGTAATTGTGACTTCATCAAAATGCGTGATTGAAAACAAAGTTTGATAATCTATAAATAATTTATATATATATTTTTCTAAATTGTGGCTTAAATTGATTATAATCACTAGTAGACCTGCGTAAATGTATTTCAAACATCTATAAAATTTTCCTTGAAAATCAATAGCATGAAATCAAATTTTAGCCCTTGTTTGATCCTCGATACTTTTTAAAATACATTTTTTTCTATCTTCTTTTCAACTACACATTATTCAATAAAATAATATTACACGTAAATTTAAATTTTTTTCTTATTTTTTAACTACACATTTCTCATCAATCTATCATTATAAAATGCATTTTAAGGAAGTAATGTGGCTTAAAGAGGCCTTTAAATTTAAAATATGTTAGGTGTAACCGTGTAAGGGTAAAATTTTACACTTTTTTACTGGCTTTCACTTGGCGATTTTTCATTCGTCCTTGACAAAATAATAATAATAATAATGATAATCAATAAAAAATGCTCCATATAGGTGCTGCCAACGCACATCTTCTATAGAAAAATAGGTGGAACGTGTACACAAAATTATAAGCGCTTGTTTTGTAGGGATGTTAAGTCAATTAAAATCAATTTTTTTTATCGTTATTTCACTATTTTAATTGTCATTTTTGAATTTTTCTCTTATAAATAGGACCCACTTTATTTTTAACGATC